TTTAAAAAAAAAAAACATTATTATGGTCTACAGGCCGGTCCAAGAGGATCACCAAGTAAACGTGTTTTCAACCATGGGTGGAAAATCAATTTTTAAAAACTCTCACCAAACATCGCACTCAAATTAAGAGGTGAAATTAAATTTACAAGCTCTGCCAAACAAATGTTTTGATATACAATAATAGATACCACAAAAGGGTTATTTCGTGTGCTAGTAGTTCAGATATTTTTGTTCTCTTTGGCTGAAATATAATAAGAGTGTCATTTTATAATTTTGAATTAAAATATTACTGTCAATTTTTTTATAAAAAAAAAAATAGAATATTCACCACATGTGCCTAAATTAAGAGTGCACAATGAAAATATCATTAAGTCAAAATCTAAAATTAAATCAAATAACAAATATATTCTCATCTTCATATTTTTTCTCAAATGATTGTAAGCTTGCCCCCTTTCTCCACCAATAACTTTAGGCCAGCTCATTCTCCTCCCAATCCCCCCCTCTTCTTTCCTTAGTCCCTGCCACCACCTCAGTTCACCTCTCCTCAGCTCCCTCTCACCACCTCTTTCCCAAACCCCGACACACTGTAGCACCATCTACTTGAGGTTATTGATTCAACTCTCTCGAAAGAAAAGTTGAATTAAGAAACAAATATTTGGTACTTTGTAAGGATATAAACGCTAACTCTCATAAATACTAATCTAATAATTAATAATTAACTTTCGCCGATCAAAAAAAAAAAAAAACCACCTCCCATGACCTCCTATCTCCTTTCTACCACCCTCGCGAGCCCGTTTCTCACCCTAATTGATGTTGCCATCCCTTCCAGCACACCCTCTCTCCTCAGTCTTGATAGCTTGCCACCCCAACTACCTCCCGTGACCCCCTCATCCCCTTTCCTCCTCCCTACATCTATATGAATATGTTTAGATTAAAATGTTACTAGAAATTTAGTTAAAAGATAAAATTAAATTATAAAATTAAAAGTTTTTGGGTTAATTTATGATTTGTTTATTGGTTAATTTATGATTTAATTTGTTAATGCGTGATTAAGAAGGATAACATAACATAGGGATATTAAGATAATTTCATCTTTTTGATAACAAAGTTAGAACTCTCCCTGCCTATATTTGAACTATAGAAACCACATAAAAGTAAAGTAAATTTTGCTCTTTTTGTTTTTTTTGTAATTTTCAAAGGCCAAAATTATGAAGGGTTGAGCTTCTCTTTAAGTTCAAACATGAATTAGAGAGAACTTGAGGGGCCCATAGAACCCACCACGGGTCCCGTTTTTATTATTTGAACGGTTCATTTTGTAAGGCACTCAGTGTAAATTATTCATAAAAAAAATAAATCGATCTGATAATTGTAATATTTTTATTTAATCATATTTGTTTCTAAAAAGTGGATGACAAATATATTTTTAAAAATATATCAAAATTTTTTTTTTTTTCACAGACAACAGGAAAATGAATAAAGCAATAAGAACACGAATGAGGTAGTGTAACTCTTTGAAAAAAAGCAATAAGAACACGACCCATGTTGATCAAACACGTATCATCTTGTTCATTTTACATGAGATATTTAGACACCCTGTAATGTCATACCCCACACAGATGGCATTTCAAAAAAGTAACAAATTTTGTGATTCCAAAATTTAATAAATAAATTTGAGTCAATTTTGAAAAAAAAAATCTGAAAAAAAATAAATAAATCAAATTTTATCAAAAAAGCTTACAATGTCTTTTTTGAACTTTAATCATAAATAAGTGAAACTTTTTAAATTTTACAATCATCCAATCGAGACAAATCTAAAAAGTTATTTGAATTAATTTTTTTTTTAAAAAAATCACTAAAGAAGTCACACAAAAAAAGCCAAAAAACAATAATAATAAGGGTAAATTACAAATACACCCCTGAAATTTGTTTGAAGTACAAATTGCCCCTTATGGTTTAGAAAATTACAAATACCTCCTTGTTTGTATTTTTTATTTAACAGAATTAACTAAAAAAATAAAATTCATAATTGCTCTCCTATACAATAATAAAATTACCTAAATTATTAATTGAAACATATTTGTAACATCATTAAAAACTGTTAATTGACTTGATAATTTATTAACAAAATAAGCGATTTGTTATGAAATTAAAAACATCAGGAGGTGAATGTAATTTCCAAAATTACATGAAGCGATTCGTATTTTAATCAAATCTCATGGGGTGTATTTGTAATTTACCCAAATAAATAATAATAACCTCCAACAATAAGCCCTAGTTCTGGTTTAGGGACTTCCAGAGCAAATCATAGCAGAAAGATCAGTTGGAGACGAACATCCTATTGCTGCTACTACTTGCAACATTTGACATTCCTAGAGCTATAAAACTAAAAAAGTGCACTTATTTTATCCCGAGTTCTAAATGTTAGGCCAAGTTTGGCTAACCTAAAAAAGTGCACTTATTTTATCTTTTTCGGGTCACATCAATCAACATCTCCTCTCTACTTTTTCCACACATAATACAAAAAAAGTCAAAAAGTGCACTTAATTAATCTTTCCAAACTTGGCATAAATTTCACTAACATTTAGAACTCGGGACTCCCTAAAACAATGCTACCCCCGAGTTATTGACATTAACAGTACTACATGCATGGAATCGACTATAGAACCAACCACATAAGGTGCCTTTGGATCAAGAATTTGATGACGGATTTGTGGAGGAAAAGGAAAAGGAGAAGTGAATGGAATGGAAGGTAAAGTTTGTTCACTTTTCCCTTCTCTTTTTTTTTTCTTTACAAATCCCCTCTCAAATCATTGATCCAAACACAGCCAAAAGCTCTCACGTACACACAAACTCTCGGTACTTTCATACACAAGCAGTCACATGTCTGTGGTTGGTTATATAGTTGATTCTCTTATCACCTAAGAAGCACGGATACTTCTAAAAAGGTGATGTATCCATGTCGTGTCCATGTCGGACACTGACACTCTTTAGACACTCTTAGGACACGTGCGCGACAATCTTCAAAACGTGTCATATTTTTAAAAAATTTTTAAAGACCCGGACACTATTTGAACACTTGGAGGACATACGTATCAATCGTTTAAACACACGTGTATATCGATTAAATATATGTGAAACTAATTATAAGTTTGAACACAACTTAAGATACAATAATAAAGCAAAACCCATATAAATTTATAAGAATTAGTGTCATATTGCATTTTTCATTATCTTTGAATGATATATTTATATATATATATATATATAACATATAATAAATATTTTAAATTATATATTTCATGCGTGTCTCCCATGTGTCGTGTCCTGCATTTTTTAAAAATTAACGTGTCGGTGTATCCGTATCGTATCCGTGTCGTTTCACATGTCTGTATTCATACTTCTTAGCTTATCACTAACATTTCCCAAAATGTATTTTAAGAATGGCGAAAGGCATCTCAGGCAGAGGTTTTTGACTAAAGAGTTATGGATGACTTGACAATTCTAATTCAAACTGACTGATCTGGTATATTTTCCACATTCATAGGAGTGCACCTATGTTTCTACTTTACGAACAAAAATATTTTATGGGCATTTATAATAATATCAAGCTTTATTCCTACTTTGGCACATTATATTTCGGAGAGATCATAAAAAAGCAGAGGGTAAACTAGAGCAGTTAATCAGCCAAATCAAGACTCTTATTTCTGTGTCTTCTCATTTTTAGACAAGAATCATATTCATCTTTAAAGTAGTCTTGCAAATGGAACAAAACAAAACTTAGCAAGCATCATGATCTTCCTAGATAGGAAAGCGAACAAATCAATATTTCATGCATGTCTCCCATGTGTCGTGTCCTGCATTTTTTAAAAATTAACGTGTCAGTGTATCCGTGTCATATCCGTGTCGTTTCACATGTCTGTATTCATACTTCTTAGCTTATCACTAACATTTCCCAAAATGTATTTTAAGAATGGCGAAAGGCATCTCAGGCAGAGGTTTTTGACTAAAGAGTTATGGATGACTTGACAATTCTAATTCAAATTGACTGATCTGGTATATTTTCCACATTCATAGGAGTGCACCTATGTTTCTACTTTATGAACAAAAATATTTTATGGGCATTTATAATAATATCAAGCTTTATTCCTATTTTGGCACATTTTATTTCGGAGAGATCATAAATAAGCAGAGGGTAAACTAGAGCAGTTAATCAGCCAAATCAAGACTCTTATTTCTGTGTCTTCTCATTTTTAGACAAGAATCATATTCATCTGAAATTAAAGTAGTCTTGCAAATGGAACAAAACAAAACTTAGCAAGCATCATGATCTTCCTAGATAGGAAAGCGAACAAATCAATATTTCATGCGTGTCTCCCATGTGTCGTGTCCTGCATTTTTTAAAAATTAACGTGTCGGTGTATCCGTGTCGTATCCATGTCGTTTCACATGTCTGTATTCATACTTCTTAGCTTATCACTAACATTTCCCAAAATGTATTTTAAGAATGGCGAAAGGCATCTCAGGCAGAGGTTTTTGACTAAAGAGTTATGGATGACTTGACAATTCTAATTCAAATTGACTGATCTGGTATATTTTCCACATTCATAGGAGTGCACCTATGTTTCTACTTTACGAACAAAAATATTTTATGGGCATTTATAATAACATCAAGCTTTATTCCTATTTTGGCACATTTTATTTCGGAGAGATCATAAAAAAGCAGAGGGTAAACTAGAGCTGTTAATCAGCCAAATCAAGACTCTTATTTCTGTGTCTTCTCATTTTTAGACAAGAATCATATTCATCTGAAATTAAAGTAGTCTTGCAAATGGAACAAAACAAAACTTAGCAAGCATCATGATCTTCCTAGATAGGAAAGCGAACAAATCAATATTTCATGCGTGTCTCCCATGTGTCGTGTCCTGCATTTTTTAAAAATTAACGTGAAGATAGACACACACACACACATATATATAGAAGATACAAGAGTAGCCATCAAATAAACCATTCCAGTTCTAGGTTCATGAGTTCGCATTTATCATAATTCAATTCAATGAAGCTATTAAAAAATATAGCAAGCAGAATAATGGGCAAAACTGACATAATTTTTGGCCAAGGCTAACATTTGTACAATCAATTATACTTGGGACTGAAAGAAGAGATTAAATCCCTACCAGTAAGAACGAAAAGCATCTGTAAATACCCAAAAATACTAAAATTGAAATTGCTTGTTCTTTAGCATCAGCGTATCAAGGAGTTCGGTTGCTTACCAGAAAGACAAAACCTTGTCTCTATTGAGCTTAGTACTCATTGAAATGGATAGCACCAACTTTCCACACAATGTAAGTCGTGGCAAACATCAGGCTGCTGATAGTAACAAATGAAACTAAGATGATAAAAGCATCGAAACCCCCTGGAAACTCGAAAGTCAGGCCTGGTTTTGGCATCCCTCGTTTGCTATCATCAAACAAGTTTGTAGGGGCTTCAGGAAGGCGAGATTTCTTTTTCCCTCGATCGCTTTCTCTCAGAGCCTCCAAAACATTGCTGCCAAGTTCCGATTTAGATGCCTTAGATGCCTTTGATTCTGTGTAACGGCTGAGAACACGGGCTGCCCTTAGTTTCTCTCTTGCTGTTAATGGTGACCTTTTCAGCCCAGATTTTAAGCTGACAGAAGAAGCATTCTTGGAAATAACAGATCCATTCACATCCTCAGAAATCTGAGGTCCTGACTCAGTTTCAGTACTAGTTTGAAACTGGCTATTTCTTATTGGAGAGTCCAAGGATGGAAGAGTCACCGCTGAAGAGCGATCATCAGAATCTGATCTTTCAGCATTTTCAGAACCCTTATCACTAATGTCTGTCGCAACATCATCACCATTTGCAACTAAAAGGAGTACTCCCCATTTCTTGCCCTTTGCAGTTCTTAAACTGACTATCCCTGAGGGAGATGTGAAATGGCTGGCCTTTAGTAAGGAAGCTCCAATACCAGACCTTGGGGCATGCAAATAATTAGCCTGCAACTTTTAATAGAAAAACAATTGGTAAAAATTTTAAAAATTTTAAAAAATCAAATAGAATTGGAGCAAGTAATATAGTTCAGAGGACACACAATTATGAGAGCATACGCAATCATTAAAATTATATACCAGGTGTGTTCCCCACTTCAATTTAATTTCATTAGTTTCCAAAGCAAAATTCTTTATACAAAAAAATGGATGTACAGGACAAGAATTCAAGTCGAGTAGATATAAAAGAGCATGGGGGGTTTATGTGTAGGGAGAGTGCTAACCCTCCTTTTGTAGCTCACATCACTAGATCCAAAAATGATGAAGACAATTAACTTGATGACCAAATCCTTTCGGGTTACTTTGATAGTTTGATTTACAAATAAAACAGGTGTCAAGGGTGACTAACTTATCTCTTCAATGGTCTTACTTGAAAGCCGGACCCTGCGACCTATGAACAAATCATAGAAATAAACAGCTGAGCATGAATTTTGAAATAGCATGAAATCAACAGTCTCAAGCTCAAAACGCCAAGAATTAAGATTCACTTGTGAGATTATTATAAAAACTGAGCATCTCTGTATCCGTGGCCCATCACAAGAATGGAGAAAAGGTCCATTCCCATTTCCAGGGTGCTCTAGCAAAACTTAGTGAAACAACCATAACAAGCATTGTTGACCCTAGAGGATAGGTCAATTAACCACAAAACTACACCTAAATCTTAACCAATAAACAGATGACTACAAATGATCTCAAGCAATTCAAATGACAATTAACCAACTAGTCAATTAATCAATCCATGTAACTATCAATTCCAACAAGAAGCTATATCAATCTCAACAAGATAAAGAGCCATACAAGCAGGATACCCAAGAAAACATGGAAACCCTATGGTAAAAACTATCCCAAGGGATGAAAACCATGACCCCAACACTGATTTTCTATTGATCAACGAATCAAACAGTTACAACACTCACTTAAGGATTTACAAAGTCTTACCCAAGCTTATACCTACAATTGAGTCCACCACAAGCTTGATAAAGACTGATCTCCGCTCCAAAGAAGCCTTGAACCAACAAACCTTGTTGATCCAATCATCTCCATGAAGTTTCCAGCTCCAATCTCCATTCCAATGGCTCCAATCTTCAATTGGACATGGTGTTATAGGGATGTGAGAAAGTATGTGAAGGTTTTTGAAAATTCCAAATCAATCTAGATGAAATAATTAATGGAAATCATGTTTAAAAAGTCTAGATTGAAGAAAAACTAAGCACTCAACAATTGAGTCTTAATGAACAAGTCATAGAACTGTTTTTCAGATAGAAAGTAGATCTAGAGAAACTGCCATCCCCAATCTAGAAAAGATGCGATATGAACATAAAAACCGTTCCAGGGGCAAAAGGTTCATAAAATGGTCTCAAGTTGTGTCAAAAGCACTCAAGCTACTGTCAAGCGCTAGTTGAGCGACAGCCCCCAACAACTTAGGCACTCAAGGAGGCAAGTCAAGCGCCTATCGAGCTCTGGTCGGGCACATGAGGAGCTCAGTAACCAGGATCTCAGGTCACTTGAGCTTTGATCAGGTTTAATCAAGTACAAGCTCAAAAACAAACAGAGATCAAGGTTTTTTTACAACATCTTTTAAAATAAAAGAAATGAAGAATATATGTAAAAACTATGAGAGGGCTATTGCCTAAGAGAATTAAAATAAGATTGTGCAAAGGCTCAAAACAGTTTGTATACCTTTTGAAGTGATGGAACCAATGCAACACTTCGTTGTGACTCTCTGATGTGGTGAACTCAACTGCTCCAAGACACTAGGAAGCACTAACTAACCCAAACACCCCAAGAAGATTGCAGGCTCTAGAAGTTTTTATCACCAAAAATATCCAATCTATCCTACCACTTTGAAAATGAACTAGCAGTTCTTGACAATCTAAATTTAAGGAAATTTTTGCTTTAGTTGCTGATGTAAAGTGCTTGGCTATACAGTTCCTAGAACAAACGGATAGGTACATCAACAGACAAGACAACTGTCATTAGTAGGAACCAAATGGCACATGCTCAGGATTGTGTGAAATTCGGTGGAGTGAAATGCTCTACCATGGACCCTGGTGGATTTTGAGCGAATTCCATCATTTAGGCTTTTAATTCACAAGTTTGCCATTTTTTGAAAGTTTTTTATTGTCAATTACTAAGGTCCATACGAATCCAATTTAGTCTAGTTTTATTTCATAATATTTCTTTTCCTTTCTAGTATCCAAATTTGAGCTTAACTCAAATTTTCTGTTTTTTGTAATTTTATTTTCCAATGTTGTTGCGTTAATTAAGAAACTACCTTACTAGGTTGTTTCTTAGTTGGATTAGGGTTCTCTTTTATTATAAATAATGGTTGTCAGTAGATGTTCATGGTTTGGTTCGGTCAATATCTAGAAAAATTTTCACACCAAACCGAACATTTCAGTTTTCTATTTATGTGCACCGAAACAGAGCAAACTATCCTAACAACCAAAACCAAACCATTGAGTTATGGATTGGTTCAAATAGTTTGGTTCAGATAGTTTGACTATAGAAAAATCAGAAGCACTCATAATCAGACGAAAACAAAAGAACGGACAAAAAATACAAGCCCACAAAACAGTGAATAAATAATTTAAAAAAAGGCGGTGAAATTGAAAATTAGAACATATCTGATAAAAAAAAATAAAGTAAAAAACAAAAGAAATATGAAATAGATCCCAGAAAAAAATGGAAAAGAGGAGGAGGCTCACCAGGGTACTAAAAGTAGTGTATGTCATGTGATGGGAGAGGAAGAGGGATGCGAGTGTCATGCTTCAATCAGGGCATTCTAAGGAGTTAAAATGATACACATCTACATAAACAAAATTGTGAGTGTGTCCACTTTGAAGACATTGAACTGAGAGAGAGAGAGAGAGACAGAGAAGGATAAGGGTTGGTTGCCTTAGAAATGGTGATTCAATCTTCCTTAGGGAGAAAGACTTGAAGAATTCAATTTGAGGATTAGGACCTTAGGTTATAAAGTTTTGATCACATGTGGGTGAGTGAAATCGTAACTGTGCACCACACGTATACATTCCAATTAGTCGGTCTCGGTTATTCAGTCTCCCAAGCCAGAGAATCAAAGCCAAACCAATAATTGACTTTGTATACATTACAAAGCTGAAACTATCAAAGAAACCGACCACAACCAATCACTTTTGGTTGGTCCAATCAGTGTGATTGGTTTTCCAACAACCGTTGTAAGCCTTAGGGATCTTCAGTTGATGAGTAGTACAAAATTTCATTGAGAGTTTTTGCTTCTTTTTTCCTATAATTCAGGCAATCTTGGGATTCAATAGATTTGTAAAAGAGTTGTAGTGTTCTTGTTGCTTCAAATTCCGCTGATCAGTTGTGATTATAATACTAAAAAAATACCAGTAGAAGTTTGGAATGTTACAGAAGAAGAAATTAATAAATTAAAGAGCAGTTGATTCAAGCTCATCAGTAAATACTGAACTTCATTTGTTTTTGACCTATTCTAGACCAAATATCCGACCATCATCACAGGTTCTAGGTATGATTTCTTTTAAGCTAATAGTTGTAGCTTTTCTTAAAGTTCTTTGAAAAGAAGAGCCAAGCAAACAGCATATCAGTGCAACAATTTTGGCTGAGTGTTGGTTGTTCGCAACAGTTAAATTGCTCCTTATATAGCCAAAAAGTGTGTCAAACCCTTCTTTGATTTTCAAGTAACCTTCATTCAGAGGGACAAGGGGTCACATGATCAATTTTCATAATTTTCAAGCATTTTGTCTGCGGCACCTGAGGTTACAGTTTAGACACAAAAAATCAATCTATGTCCCTTAGTACAAGTAAATGGCATTAACCAAGTTAAGCAGAGTTGAGTATATTTAGTTTCCTAAAGAAGGCTCAAATTCAATTTTCATCAAATGTAGAAATAAAGAAAATATAAAATCTTCTCAAACTCATATGCAACGTTCAAATATCAAGAAAGATTTTTTTGGGTGTTTATGCATAGTGTTTCTTTAGTAAAATTAAAATTGATCGCATAGAGACGATAGACACTCTTGGCACTTTGTAGATGACATTAAACTTCATAAAGCAGGAAGGAAAAAAAAATAAAAAATAAAAAAATGAAGCATTTATGTTTAGTTAGGCCATGATTTTGTTGCAGAAGGTTTGGTCATACGGTATTGTGACTTTGTGAGGGTAAGGTGATCTGCAGGGCATATTAGGTAAGCCAACTGCTGTGTTTGCAAACAGATGTTTTACAAATATTGGTTCTTCACTTGGTATTGTTATCTTTTAGGAAGACAATACTACGGTGTCAAAATTGATTCAAGGCATAGGAGTCAAAATTTCTGATTCACATGAATTGCATCAAAGTTGTCAATGTCAGAAACCTCAACCACAAAAATCCAATGACATGAATTAGGACACAAGTAAAAAACAAAGCTAATCAACTTTGGCAGAAGATGAATCAAAATCATACGGAATTAATGCAAAATGGGCTACAAAGAAGCCCAGATTCAAAATTACAAATAAAGTCCCTATATATCAACTTAATAAGGTTCACCAACACATAAATTTCATTTTCACCTTTGAGCTAAGTAGATATTCGTATGATTCCAAGAATAAGGTTATAAAACGAATCAAAGCAGTCGAGCTCAACTCATGTTTGACTTGTTAAAAGCTGATTCGAGATTAGCTCATTATGTAAACTGGCTAAACTTTAACACGTTTTTTGAACTCATTAATTTTCTAATCTCAGCTCGAACTTAACTCGATAAAATTATATAGACTGCAGAATTGTATAAAATAATCAAGCTACTTGAGCTCAGCTCAAAAAATAAACAGAATTAAGTTTGAACACATTTTTTAATCTCATTAAATTTTCAAACCAAAATTAAAAACAACTCACTACTCAGCTGGACTTTTGGCTTGTATACAACCCTATCCAAAGAAATATATATTAGACATTTGACACATATACATATACAAATATACTTTTTGTTTGGATCCCCTTAGAATCTATTTTCCACCTCAACTAAGCATTAACAAGAAATTTGATAGCATATACAGAGACAATAATCAATAATGAATTAGGCGTTTGCGGAAAAGAAAAAAAATCAAATTTGAGTAACAGGAAATGTGAAAAACGTAAAGAGAGAGGGAAATTAGAAGAGAGGAATAGAGAGACATACAGGTGGGTTGAAGGGGACGACTGAATTCAAAGAAACAGCCATAGTTTTGGGAAAGTCTAAGGCCCAACCATTAAGAGGGTATTGAGAGAGAGATTGAAGGGGACGACTGAATTCAAAGAAACAGCCATAGTTTTGGGAAAGTCTAAGGCCCAACCATTAAGAGGGTATTGAGAGAGAGAGTTGCGTTTGTGGCAGGAAAGAGAGCAGCCAGTTTTGAGAGATGAGACACATGGCATGGCCAGTAGAGTAGGCCACTCTCCCACTGGTGATTTATGGCGCGCGTGGAAGTCGCATGACTCGCATTTGGGAGTTCCTTTTTTTAAATAAATAAAAAAAAAGTTCTTTCTAGTCCCATTTTTTATTTTTAGGAAAAATTGTGATGTTGATTTCTAAAGGAATGTATATGAAATATATTATTGTCTTTGTTTAGTGTGTGGTATATAACGTGATTTTATTATATATTACAAAATTGTTAATACATCTCAAATGATTTATTAAATTTTCTATTAAACCTCTCATATTAAAGTATGAACAAAAGCGCATTTGTATATATAAATATCAAGTAATGTAATAAAGATGTCTTATTGTTTAGTGTTATTAGCCAAACAAGCTCATATGGTTCCAGTACCGTAACACTATAGCGGTTACACTGGAACTTATGTGATTCCAATATTATGACACTATAACAGCTACTGTAGCAATCATACCTCAGTATTGTAACATGTTTGTTCTAAAACTCTTTCTTTGTCTATTATAAAAAGCTTTTATGTATTGTCATTGGTAGAGTCAGTGATATAAACTTCTTGTTGCTTGCTATCTCTTTGATCCTTCTTTGTGATTATATCTTTGCCATAAAATTTTTGCTCAACTCATCATGGATAATGTTTTCAAATTACACCGTATGCCAGTGTAATATTTCATATTGAGACCCGTGTTCACAAGTTCGTTACAAGAGTTATTCAAGTTACAAACTGCAGATACAACGAAGTCAACAGTAGATGTTTGAGAACCATGTGAAGTGCATGCTGGGTGACATTACTACAAAGTCAAAACATCTTATGAAGCATTGTATGGTCAAGATCCACCATCTTTTTAAGCATTAGATTGCAGGGGTTCAAAGGTAGCAACTACAGATTCTATGCTTGGGAATACCTGTTAAGAATTATGCTCCAGGGGACTTGAAGGCGGATTACGGGATAGAAATTTGATGGTGCAACTGTTTCAAAGAACATTTGCAACATGTCCATTATCGAATGAAGCAGTGGCCCATTGGCATCAAACAGAAGACAATTAACTTCCTCTGTTCAACCTTATCGACAAACAAGCCTATCTCTCCAACAAAATCGGAAGTTGCATCCAAAGTTTTTTTGGTCCTCTCCGAGTACTTGGCAGAATTGGGGCAATGGCTTATGAGTATCTGAGGCGTGCCACATTTATGTATGTCTCATTTTTTAAGATAAAATTGGGCCCATCGCACAATCATTAAACAATCACTCCCAACTACATCTCACAACCAGCTTACCACGAAAGTTGAGGTTTCTCATGTGGACCCGAGGCTCTTCTCCTTGAGAGCCTCTATATTCATCCCACTACAATTGCCTTCCCATTACATGCATTATATGAGTACCGTCAAAGTCTATTGCTGAAAGGCAACAAAATTAACACCTCATATCATGTTTGTCAGCACCAACCCATGAAAATCTGTATAAAATGCTTATGTATCATGTTCTGTTCTTTTTAGTACAATACAGATTATCCTCAGTTTGCCGCCCTACCAGCTGCAAAAAAATGCCTCTTTCTGCTACCAAAAGAATATTACAAAAGAAATATATATATATATCCACACACCCTATTGACCACCTCACAAACAAAAACCGACTTCATCTCCAACTAGACCTAATCCATGAAAACTTTCTTTCAAAAACAAAGAGGTGGGAGGAGAAAGATTGGACAATTAAAAACCCGAACTGCTAGTTTCTCCTTCCAACAAAGCTGCTGTCATCCACTGCTAATTTCCACTTGCACAATCATCTAAACTCAGTAGGAGCCCATTGGCGGCATACCAAATGGTGGCATTGGAGGCATCCCCATTCCGCCCATGGGTGGTGGTGGAGCAAAACCTCCACCCATACCTGGCATGGGGGGTGCAGGCAAAGCAAGAGGAAGCAGCTGAGCATACATGTTCTGCAACAAATAACACGCCATATTAATAAGCTTTTATTAGGTTTAGCAAACAATGAATAGAATGGGGATTGAAGGAAATAACTAACAAATGAAAGGAACATCATAAAGATGACTGACAACTGCATGAAATTAGAATTAATGTAAAAATGTAAAATACCTGCTGTGCCATTACGTCCTTCTCTTCTTTCTCTTTAGCCTTAACTTCACTGAGAGCTTCTAGTTTGTCCTTAATTAGTTCATCAACCTTGCCTGTGTACTCACGGATAAACTGCAAAAAATAATGAAAATAAAAATAAAAAGGTGAACAGGCAACCTCAAATATGCAAACAAGATGTCAACAAGCCAAGCCAGCTCCACTAAATCAGGCTCAGGCTTTGGGGTAGCGCCTAAAACCCCAAAAGCCAAAAACCAAGCCACATCAAGCAGTCACATAGGCATGTAGCATAATTAAGAGCAAAAAGGGACCCTTTTTTTTAAAGAAAATGAGAGCAAAGCAAAAGTGACATGGGTTAATGATTTCAATCTTTGAAATTGAGGTCCATATAGAAGAGCCCTGAGTTCAGCAATTTTGATGAGATGAGCTCCAGCTCGTCTTACAGGTTTGTCAAAAGTCCAGACTAAGTTGGGAAAAATTATTTGCCCCTTCAATAAATAATGACTAGGAAAGAAACAAACAAATCACCTGTAACAGGTATGGGAAGGCAAAATCTATCATATTGTTCATCCAAGCAAGTTCAAGAGCCACATCTGCGCGAATTAAATCATAACAAACGAATAGGCACGATGCAAAGCATTCCTTCTTTCCCTGCAACAGCATATCAACATCAGCACTACAAATTAAGAAAAGTCAAACAGTCCAACTGAAAAGTTGCATGTAACAATGTTGCACAGGAAAAATAATTTCCACCGCATGAAATTTTACTATGACACAGTAGTCCATAGTTATGACAAACAACAATCTGCAAATAGGAAAGCACTAATCCATCACAAGGTAGCAAGAAAATTCAGACAATATTACCAGAGTTCGGAACAGACAAGAACTATAAAATAAGATCATATATGAAAAAAGAGATGAAAAACACTGTGACACGTGACATGATACGGACACGCCAACACGCAAATTTTTAAAAAATGTAGGGCGCGTGCAAAATATGTAATTTTTTATATTTCTTATGTCACATATAAGTATAAATAATTATTATGTCATATATATCAATATTTAGGTCAAAAATAATAATTTTTAAAGTCTAAAGGAGAAGAATATGTATAAATTTACATAGTTCTTGTTTTAATCATTAGACTTCAAGTAATTTTATTCAAACTAGTACTGTGTTTTATTTGTATAGGTGTTAGGAAGTGTGCGGTGGGTGTCGTAT